CAGATCTTTGATGCCAAAGACTGTGCTAAATCCTGGGGAAACAGACCAGACAAAACCCAGTCTGCCCTCAAGGAGCTCACATTCTAACGGGGGAGGCAGAAACATACTGATATACAAAGCAGCTGCTAAGTGGATGCAGGAACAGCTGAGATGCCATGGAGGGAGGAACAGCAAGGCTGGCAAGAAGTGGCATGGTCATAAGGGAGCACGAGGAGGGGGGTGAATGTGGGTGACTGGAAAGATGGGGGGAAAGAGGGGGACAGGGGGAGCATTGGGGGAAGGATGAGGCGATGCTGGGGGTGTGCGCATGGTGGGTGAGCTACAATGGGCCTGTGGGACATCCGGGGGACTCTGTCTGGCAGGCAGGCGATGATGTAGAACTGGGGTTCAGGAGTGGAGTGGGGGAATGAGAGGGGGGAGAGGGAAAAGGGGAGAGACACAGATGGAGAGAGAGACAGAGAGACAGTGAGAAGGGAGAGGCTGTCTAGGCAGATCTGGGAGTCTTCAGCACAGACCTGACAGTCGAACTTTTTACTAAGACAGATAGTGAAAGAGAGAATGTGGGAAGAGAAGACATCGAGAGAACAGAGTCCTGGCATCCACTCGTCCATCGCCAGGGTGCTGTGGGTAGATGGCTAGCATTCCCTCTGCAGCTGCTCTATGGCCACAGCCGACTATGGAGAGCACCTGAGGGGTTTGTCTTTCTAGTGCTGTCACACAGAAGCCCCCACCAGTGTATTTCCTAGTAATCCCCATCAGCCAGACTTCCATTAGCTTTTAGGAATTAGGTTATTCATCGAAGTGCTATAGCAAGAATAGTGGATACAAAAACCGCCAGGTTCCTGGGGAGAGTAGCCTTAAACTTAACATACAGAGGTAGTGAGGCAGAGGGTAAGAACACATGTGGCAAAGGAGCACCTTGTATGACTTGGCACTGAGAATCCTTTTCTCCCACTGTGGAGCCCTCAGGTAACAACAAAAGCTTGCCTTTATGTGATACTACTATATATTGTATTTATATAGTACTGCCTACTATGTGCCAGGCATGGTGCTAAATGCTTTACAAGGATTATTTCTTCATTTTTTTTCCTTATTATTTTTCCAGTACAGCTTTCTGGTGGGTGCTGAGGGTCAGCACCTTTACAGAGTCCATATGGACCCTTCTCTTCACCCTGAGGTGTGACGGTCCCTGAAGCTGCCCTTCTTTGAGTGACTAGTTTGTCCTCACTGTCCTTTAGCTTTCAACGCAGCACTGTGCTCCAGAGACACCATGAGAGATGCTGGTGGGACCGCCACATCTTTTGACCTTTTGAAGTTCGTAAGGTCAGAACCTGTCAGTTCCATCTCTGGATGTGCTTAAGATCAAGAAATCACCCAAAGAGATCTAGCTGTCCTTGGGCTCACAGCTACCATGGCAACCAGTCCCCTTCCACCCCCTCAGGATGTCAGTTGTGAGGCTTGTCACTTCTCACTGGGGGAAAGAGAACAGAGCTACTGTAGCCTCTCTGTTCTTGGGATTGATCCCTAGTGGTCCCTTTTGTCTGATGACACAGTCATGGCTGGGAGAAATGAAAGAGGAAGAGGAAAGCTCTCCTGCTCCCCCCAAGCCATCCAGTGTGTTGGGCTGGCTCCCCACTTGACTAACTCTGAACAGGTGGTGTCATGTTTCCATCCAACCACCACACTCTCAAATTTATCAAGGACTTATTCATACCTCCAGTGCATTGATACTTCTGTGATTGGTTTTAGGTGAGGGTGGGAACTCCCCCCTTACACATGAGTGGTATTCCTATAAAAGGACACTGGGAAAGCCCACAAAAAAAAAGTATCCAGGAAGAGAGAGGGTGATGGACAGTTTCCAGTGCTCCAGAGAGGTCAAGGAAAAGGGTGAAGAAAAACCTCTGGACTTAGTAATATTGATCACCAGCCAGTTTCAGTTGAGGGATGAGGTCCTACAAGCCAGATTGCAAAGAGCTGAGAAATGGGTGAGAAGGGAGGAAGTGGCATCAATGAGTGTAGAAGCTTTCTTTAGGAGTTTGGATATGAAGCAGAGCAGAAATCCAAGATGAGAGCTTCTGTTGTGGTGAGGTCAAGAGGGTTTTTTTTTCCTTATTTAATATCTTATTTTTTTTCCAACTACATGTAAACACAATTTTAACATTCTTGTTTTTCAGATTTTGAGTTCCAAATTCTCTCCCTCCCTCTCTTCCCCCCCAGGAGAAGGTAAGCAATTTGACATAGGTTAATACATGTGTAGTCATGCAAAACACGATTCCATGTAAGTCATTCTGTGAAAGAAAAACAGAGACCAAAAAACCCCAAGAAAAATGAAGAAAGAGGGGGCAGCTAGGTGGCATAGTGAATAGAGCACCAGCCCTGGAGTCAGGAGGACCTGAGTTCAAATCCAGCCTCAGACACATAAGATTCACTAGTTGTATGCCTCTGGGCAGGTAACTTAACCCCAATTGCGTCACAAAAAAAATTAAAAAGAAAAATAAAGAAAATAAAGAAAAAGTAGCTTTGATCTGCATTCAGGGTCTACCAGTGCTTTCTCTGGAGATGATCACCACCTTTCATCATAGGTCCTTCAGAATTGTCTTGGGTCATTGTACTGCTGAGAATAGCCAAGTTTTGACAGTATATCATCACACAATGTTGCTGTTATGGTGTACGATGATTCTGCTCATTTTACTTTGCCTCAGTTCATGTAAGTCTTTCTAGGTTTTTCTGAGCATCCTGCTCATTGTTTTTAAAGCATCATAACATTCCATCACAATCATCTACAACAACTTGTTCAGTCATTCTTCACTTGATGGGCATCCCCTCAATTTTCAATTCTTTGCCACCACTAAGAGAGCAGCTATAAATATTTTTGTACACCCTTTTCCTTTTTGCTTTTTGTCTCTTTGGGATGCAGGCCTAGTGGTATTGCTTGGTCAAAGGGTATGCCAGTTTTATAGCCCTTTGGGTATAGTTCCAAATTGCTCTCCAGAAATGGTTGGATCAGTTCACAACTCCACCAATGCATTAGGAACCCAATTTTTCCACATCCTCTCCAACATTTGTCATCTTCCTCTTCTGTCATATTAGCCAACCTGATAAGTGTGAGGTGGTACCTCAGAGTTGTTTCAATTTTTATTTTTTCTAATCAAGTGATTTACAACATTTTTTTTCCCTCATGACTATAGATAGCTTTGAGCATTTTGTCTGAAAACTGCTAGTTCGGTATCCTTTGCCCATTTATCAATTGAGGAATGGCTCTTATTTCTATAAATTTGACTCAGTTTCCTGTTTGAGAAATGAAGTCCTTATCAGAGAAACTCACTGTAAAATTTTTTTCCCAGTAATGACTACCATCTATGAATTTCCCGTCGTCCTATTTCCCCCCATGTTTAGCTGACTCTCTCTCCTTTTACCCTGCCCATTCTCAAGTGTTTTGCTTCTGACTTTTACCTCCCCCAAACTGCCCTCCCTTTTATCAGCTCCCCCCACCCCTTTGCAGAAGGTTTTTAAAGAGGGGACAGACAAGTCGTATCTGGGGAACGAGGAAAGATTGCGGGGATGGGGGTTATCCAGGGGACAAGCAAGCTCCAGAGTCCAGGAGAATGGAGCTGAACTCAGAAGCGCTAGTGGTGGGGTTACCCCATCCTCCGAGACCGGGGCGAGGATAGCGTTTGCACTACAGGGAAGCAATGGCGAGGCGGGGATGGGAGGAAATCAGGGAAGCCCTCCTGGAAGTGGCGCTCGAGCTGAACTTTTACAAAACTGTTAAAATGTGCATTTTCAGTCCCTGGTTCTCTCGCTCCCTTCGCCCCCCCCTCCCCTGAGGAGTCTAGTCTTTCAGTCCCCCAGTCCTCCCGCTGAGAAGGCCAGAAGGCCGCTCTCCAGGGCACACGTGAAGTCCCGCCGGGCACACCGCTTGGGTTTCATGAACAGAACCCGCCTTTGTCTCCCCTCCCCGCCATCGAAGAAGAGACCCAGCGACAGAAGCAAAGCCCCCCACGGAGACGCGCAGGCCGGCCCCGCGGACGCCCCGTTGTGCCTCCGGGGGGCACGAGGCGGGGGGGCCCGTCCCCGAGCCCCTTCCAGTCGCCGCCTTTTGGGTCGTAGCTGTTGGGTCCCCCGGTCCCTGCTCCCCTCACGGGCTCGGCGCGTCCTCAGTCTCCCGTCCCGGCCCTGGGGGGGGGGCCTCCCGGGCGGTGTGGACTCCGAGGGGCCGAGAGGAGGGGCCCCGGGCGGTCCCCGCAGCCCCTCCCAGGCTCGCTCGCAGCTCGGGCTGGCCCCGCCCACGCCCCGCCCACGCCCCGCCCCCTCCGGCGGCGCCCCGCCCACGCCCCGCCCCAAAGCCCCGCCCCCGCCCCGCGCCTCTCCCCCCTCCCCACGTCGGAAGGCGCCGCGCGTGCGCGCGCGCGTGCGGGCCGGGGTCACGCGCGGCGTCTCCAGTGCGCGCGCACGGGGGGCGGAGGCCGCAGCTAAGGAGGAGGAGGAGGAGGAGGAGGAGGAGGAGGGGGAGAAGGAGGGGGAGGAGGGGGAGCAAGGCCGCGGGCCCTGGAACCAGACGAAGGACTCAGAGGACTGGAGGACGCGCAGGAGGCTCCGGCCCGGGAGGCCGCGGGGCGCGGGCGCAGGTGGGTGTGCGCGTGCTCGCGGGCAGGGGTGGGGGAGGGCGGGGGAGGGGGCACGCGGGGTCCCGACCCCTCTCTCCCCCCGGCCCCTCCCCATCCTGGCCTCTGATGGGGTGCGCCTCCCCCCGCACGTGTGCGTGCGCGTGTGTGCGTGGGGAGACGGGGGCGGGGGCCCGCACCCCCCTTTCTAGTCCGGGACTCCAGCCCCCCCCCCCCGTCTGTCTGTTGCAGATGAGCCTCGTGGGCGGCTCCGCCGCCGCCGCCGCCGCCGCCGCCGCAGCCTCCTCGGCCGCCTCTGCGCCTTTGCCCGGCCGCCTCCTGACGATCGGCTGCCCCTGACCGAGGGGGCCCTGCCGCGCGCGAGCCCCCCTGTGCCGGGCCATGCCCGTGGCCTCTGCAGCCCTCATGTCAACATGATGAAAACAGAGCCCTCGGGGGAGCGGAGCACCCTGCGGAGCGCCTCTCCACACCGGAATGCCTACCGCACGGAATTCCAGGCTCTCAAGAGCGCCTTTGACAAGCCCAAGGCCGAGGGGGACCCCAAGGCCAAAGAGGGTGAGGGCTCTCAGCAGAGCAGGGGCAGGAAATATGGCTCCAACGTCAACCGGATTAAGAACCTCTTCATGCAGATGGGCATGGAGCCCAGCGAGCCCGCGGCTGCGCCCCCCAAAGCCAGGGCCAAAGGGGGGCCCCCCTCCCCGCCCCGGCGGGGCAGGCCCAGAGAGCTCCTGGAGAAGGCGGCCGGCTGCGTGCTGAAGCTGGAGTCGTCCGTGTCGGAGCGCATCAGCAGGTTTGACACCCTGCACGATGGCCCTTCCTATTCCAAGTTCTCCGAGACCCGGCGGATGTTCGAGAGAAACAGCCGGCGATCCCCGCAGCCGGAGCGGCCGGGAGCGGAGGTGCCCGACGACTGGCCTGGCGCCAAGTCCAACCGGGGCAGCACGGACTCCCTGGACAGCCTCAGTTCGCGGCCCGAGGCCGTCTCCCCCACCGTGAGCCAGCTCAGCGCAGTTTTTGAGAACTCGGACCCCCTCGCTGAGAACCACGAAGAGTGCTCGGAGACTGGCGCCGAGGCCCCCAGCCCCCTCAAGGAGCCCGACTCTTGGGGTCCTTCAGACCCCCCAGGGGCTGAGGCTGAAGGTGCAGGCCGGGTCCCGGAGGAGGCAGCTCCCAGGTCCTCGGAGGAGGGACCCCGGCTGGAGGCCGAGGACCCCACAGCTCCCCACCCAGGGCGACGCCCGGGACAGCCGGAAGATGCTGCCGGGGCAGCACCTGCTGAGCTGCCCCTTCTCCGGGCCCCCCCTGCAGAGCCAGAGGCCGCCAAACTCCCTGGGGATCGCCTGGCAGGGGCCACTTTCAGCTCCGGGGATGCCCCTGGCAAAGAGGAAGCCCCTGAGGGGGTGAATACTGCCCAGGGCTCCCAGGGCTACGTGCACACGGACTACAGCGTGTACCGGGTGCGGTCCAGGTATAACTCAGACTGGGGAGAGCCGGGCACGGAGCCGGACGACCAGGACGACAGTGACGAAAACCAAGACTTCCAGCCCAGCAGGGACTACCTGGAGATCAGCGGCTTGCCGGAGGAGGAGGAAGTCCCGGCCAACCGCAAGATCCAGTTCAGCCGGGCACCCATCAAGGTGAGTGCGTGGCCTTCCAGCCCGGCAGGGACGACCCCCGGGGCTGGTGGCCTGCTCTGCCTTGGGGCCGCTGGGGCGGGTGCTGCGGTGGGCAGAGAGAGGCTGTGGCCCTCGGGGGGTCCCACGGGTGGGGCAGCTCTCGGGGCATGGTGTGGGGTGCAGGTGAGGGCAGAGCCAGGAGTGGCCTTGCTGTGGCATCTCCCCAGGCAGCAGCTTGGGCAGACCGGCCAGCCTCGCTCTGGTGGCCAAGGCTTTTCTGGTCATCGTCCGACTTAATCCATTTTTTGTTTCAACCTTTGTTTCTCCAAGAACCCGGGGCCTCCCGCGGGTGCCCTTTATGCGCAGGAGGCAGAGGTCCTGACCCCAGGGTCAGAGCCCACTGTGTGTACGGGTACAGACTGGTGGCCACCTTGCCTCCTGCCCCGTGGCAGACCTCCTGACGTTCAAGCCCTAGGCCTTGTGGGGCTCCTGGGGTCAGGAATCGCACGTGCAGGGCCTGGCACAGGCTCTTGGTAGTGGTAGTGATAGCAGCTTGCTTAATGGAAGCACCTGACCCCTCGTTTGCCCTCCTCGCCTCCAGGGCTCTTGGCTTCAGCCTCCCAGGCAGGGTCTCTGGGGGGCACCCCCTGCTTCGGTTCCTTTGTGGGCCCTCCTTGGAGAAGCTGCTGGCTCCTCTGCCTCCCATGATCCTGCAGAAGCCCCAGGCTTGTGTCCCCACAGCTCTCTCCAGGTGTCCTGGGGCGGGGCGGGCAGACAGGCCAGAACCTGGGACGAGGACGAGTACTGGGGGCTCGCCCCCTTTCAACCTTCTTCCATGTCTGGGCAGGAGAGGCCACAATGACCTGTGGGACAGAGGGAGGACTCACATTGAGTTGTGTCTTCCACCTCATAGTTTTCCTGCCCTAAAGCTCAGACCAGCTGCAGTTTCAACCACACACAGTATGACAAGCCATCAGCCATAGCGGGAAAGCTCAGGGCCCTCCTGAGAAGGACTGGACGTTGTGTGTGGGTCCCTTGCCCTCAGGGAGCTACAAATCTGATAGGGAAGTTGGCTTACAAAGGGCAGCTTCTTCACATGGGGGATGGGGAGGAGAAGGGTGAGAGATCCCTGAAGAGGGAGGAGGATGGCCCCAGGGGAATGAGAGGTAAGAGGCGAAAGTGGGCCCCCCTTCACGTGGGCCCCTGTTAATGCACACGGGACGGATTCGAGTCAGGCCTTTTGTCTGGTTTGGAAAAGTTGGGTTGGATTTGTGGCCTTTGGCTGTTTCACGGAGGATGGTCCTGGAGTGCCTTCCTTTGAGGATAAAGGCCTAAGGTGCTTAACCTTTAGAGGTTTTGAATTTGTCTTTTCCTTGCCTCCTCTCATCTCTCCTGATCCCTCAGAAAGAAAGGAAGGAAGGAAAAAAGGAAAGGAAGGAGAGAGAGGCTTCTGAAGGCAAACTGAGAATGTAGGGTCACCGTTGTTTTTGTTCCTCGTGGAATGAATCTTGGCGGGACTCCTCCTGGGCATGTGGCCCTGGCTTGGTGGGGCTGATGGGATGGCGGTGGACCTCGTTGACCCCGGACCCACCATCAGCTGTCATCTCTTGGGTTTCCTTGACCCCTTCTGCCTTTATTGCTGAAACTTCTCTGGAGACACGCCAGTGGGGGCCTGTGCCTCTCATCTCCTTCTTTTCTGACAGCCCAGTTTTGTTCTGGGGATTTACTCCATGGACTTGTGTTGTCCCAGGCTGCCTCCTGGCCTTGGCTCCTTGGTCTCCATGAGGGAAGGCTTCGAAGGGGAGCTGGGCCGAGGTGATTCGCTCTGCCCCTGGCCCCGCACGGGTTAGGGACATCCTCCTGCTGGCATGAACGCTTTCAGGCATTCAGGATGAAACGAATGAACGAAAAGCCATCCGGGGCTTACTTTGTGCCTTGTTCGGTTATTTGTAGTTGTGTCTGACTTTTTGTGACCCGATGCTGGAGCGGCTGGCCGTGTCCTTCCCGTTTTACAAATGAGACATCTGAGGCAAGCAGGGTTAAATGACTTGTCCACGATCACACAGCTAGTCTGAGACTGGATTTGAACTCAGCTCTTTCTGACTAGAGGCCTTGCTAGCTCTCTCCTCTGCCCCCACTTGTGCCTAGCTCTGTGCTAAGGAGCAAAGGGTTACTAACACTACAGCCATGGTTGGTCTGCCCTGCACCTTCTGTTCTACTGAAACCCGCCGGGGGTGGGGAGTGGCTGGGGAGAGTGGCTTTGTTCAGGGAAGTTCTTGGACTGGAGGGCAGCTTCTGGGGTGTGGATTGACACGCCCTACTAGGGATTTGATCTTGGCTGTAAACCTGGACCTTTGGGGTTGGAGGAGGGAGAAGTGCCCTGGAGAGTCTGGGGAGGAGGCCGCAGAACCCAGTGGGGCTGGGCCTTTCCTGGTGTGCCAGGCAGCAGAGAGCTGGGAGAGAAAGACAGAAAGAGAGATCCTTTCCAGGACTGTGTGCCTAAGCCCTGGTGGTGATGGGCAGCTCATTATCTCACCAAGCAGCCCCACCATTGCTGGATGGCTTTGTGCTGCCTGTTCTGGGAGCTCTGCCTCTTCTCCCAGGACTCCCTGGGATGCTGTCGCTGCCCACCTCAGGGCCTCCCCAGTCCTGGTGGTGGTGGTTTGTCCCCCAGAGTTTCTGATTCCGGGCCAAGGTTCCTTGGCACGGGGTGGGCAGGGCTCCTGCAGTCTTGTGAGAAGCTGGCTCACCTCCTGAATTCAGCCCATCCCTTCTCTGCAGAGGTCACTGGACCCTGGTCCTGGCCTGCCCCTCCATCCCGGGCAGGCGTAACCCAGGGGTTCCCCCGGGGTGCATCTTGGCGGCCTGGGAGCGAGCCTGGCTCTTTCACACGTTTTGGTGAATCAGCTCAGCATTAGAGGGGAAACACAGACGTGTCTTGCTAAAAAACCCGTTTTTGATAATCTGTCAGGCAGGGGCAGCAGCTCTTGCTCTGAGTGAGGCCTTGGGGTTAGGTTCCGGGGCCTGCAGTGTATTCTAGCTGGGGCATCAAGCTCTCCATCTTCCTGGAAGCAGTGAGCAGGAGCTTTCTCAGTCTGATAAAAAGCCAACAGACCTGCCCTCGGGGAGCTTCCATTCCAATGGTGGGGTACCACAGGCTGCCTCTGAGGAAAGGTTCTCATGCTCTGAACAGGGAGCCTGGGACCACAGGGAAATAAAGACACACAGACCAACCACGTAGTGATAAAGAGAGAAAGTTCCTGAACTATGCCTCTCCCTGGCCCTGGAGTCCACCCTTCAGCAGCTCCCTTCGGCCCCGCCCAGGAGGGCTCCTTCTGGAACCTCCATTGCCCAGGCCCTCTCCAGACCTCCTCCACCAGGGCCTGGGGCTTTTTTTTGTCTTTCAGTTGTTTCAGCCATGTCCCGCTTCGTGACCCCATTTGGAGTTTTCTTGGCAGAAATACTGGAATGGTTTGCTATTTTCTTCTCCAGCTCATTTACAGATGAGGAAACTGAGGCCAACAGGGTGAAGTGACTTGCCCAGGGTCACACAGCTAGGAAGTGTCTGAGGCTGGATTTGAACGTAGGAAGATGAGTCTTCCTGCCTCCAGGCCTGGTCCTCTCTCCGCTGCAAGCCTTCCTCCCCCCTTGCCACAAGTGTATCTCTTCTTAATTACGATGTTACCTAGATAGCCCAGCCTTCTCTGTGCAGTCCTGATTCCCCACCAGAGTCCCAGGGGCCGCATTGTGCCTGGGTCACGTTGGGGGCCGTGGGTGGTCTAGCTAGTTAGCTGTCTTTGGGGTTGGGGTCTCCCTTAAATGACCAGCCTCCCTTTGGTTTGGTGTGCGCACTCGCACACACTCACACAGCTCACATGTACACTCATGCATATATGTTCACACTCACCACATACACATACACACACACTGATATACGTTCACACATATACACACTCACATTCATCACATATGCTATTCATACACACACTCACCATATACACTATTTACACACACACGTTGATACACACACATACACATACTCACCACATACACATATTCACACACATAC